ATACAGGCCTCTGCTCTTACAACAGGGAAGGAAGGTAAAATAGCAGGGCAGCTAATGCACAGGGTCTGAGGTCAGCCACAAGAATGTGGGAATCCCAGCTCTGCCACTTCCTGTACCACTATGGACAAGAAACTTGAAATTACTGGGTCTGTTTTATATCTGTGCAGAGGGTTTTAGTGAGCATACATGAGATGAAGCATGTGAAGAATTTAGTGAGTGCCTGGAACATAGTATGTGCTCAATGCATGATGGCTATTCTTATTAGTTAAATGATGGCTTTGTGGGAGGAGGGAACCAGCCATGGACAAGAACATCCCCCCTCCCTTGGACATTGGAATCCCCAACCTGGCAGTGTTCTAAGAATTTCTATGATGTTCCTGGCTTTGGGGTGGGTTGATAGCAGGTGCTGAGACAACATGTGCCTACCTTTCAGTGGAAGAGAAGCAGCCTCAGTCAGCTCAGAATCTCTGGGGTGTGATCCACACCTGAAGTGTACCAATTCATTATTATTCCACATGGCATGAAGCTACGGATAGACAAATCTGCAGGTGGAGTCCATGCAGCCACCAGACAGGGCAATCCTTTTTGGGGTGAAGGGTGCCCTCCTTAGTTTCACAGGTGGAGAAGGGAGTTGAAATTTGTTGAGCACCTTCTCAGGGCCAGGCATTTTGTTGGGTATCTCACATGTAATTTTCTCACCCAGTTTTATGAAGAGGTGTTGGGGGTTTTATGACTCCATATCACAGGTGAGAAAACTGAGTTTCAAAAAGGTTGTGCAACTGGCTGAAAGACTGACAGCTGAGAATGTCAGAAATGGGAATTGGATCCAGATCCCATTTGGTCTAACACCAATGTTCTTGCTCAGTTCCCTTTCTCTCTGCCTCAGGTGTCACCTTAGGGTTCTTGACCTCCTTTGGAGAAGTCTTTGGCCACCATCCACATCTGAGGAAAGATAGAGGGATCCGTGGGGTCAGATTTTGTGCATGGGCTAGTCTTCGGGAAGCTGGAAGCTTTCCTGACAAAGCTCTGTGTTCCCACCTTGATTTCGCCAGCAGGATGCATCTCAGCTGCACCTGGAAATATCCCTCTTAAGTCAGGCAGGATTTAGAGAGCCCAGCCAGAGTCCATTCACCACCCCTCTTTTCAGAAATAGCAATTGCCAATTCCCTTCATGACATTCCCAGATCATTGAGATCAGGAAGGTCACTGCAGGTGGAGTGTGGAAGACTCTATTTCGGAGAGCAGCAGTGGAGAGTGGTGGGACCAGAGAGAGACAGGACATGCCCATCTAGAAAGTTATCTCCTAGTTAGTTCACTTTCAATCCCCAGCACAGAAAAGAGAATGTCTAGTTCAGTGCTAATAGCCTTTACCACCTCTCTCTATTATTTCCTAATCTCCCTTCTTAACAAAGAGAAATCAGACTTTAGGCTCACAGGTAATGGTGTCTAATTAGAATCTAATGACATTTTTGTGCCTATATTGTATTTATTTCTACTTTGTATTTGTGACGGGTGATAATGAATTCTTGTTTAAGATAGTGAGATAGCATTTTCTTTTACAATGTATTTACAGAAGTGAAAAAGATAAGTGAGTTCATTTAAAAGAAGCATTGCAAGGACATGGCAAATTTCCTAAAGATAGTATTTGAAGGACTGATTTTGGTGAAAAAGCAGTTCTTCCACTTAGTAGCAGTCTGTTTTCTGGTGACTTTTCTGAGTCAGTTTTCTCTTATATGAAATGGGAATGATCATGGTGTTTTCCAAGACTTTTGTGAATATTTAATAGCAATAATAATAATAATAATAAATAATCATAACTAACATGTAGTGAGCTTTTTCTATGTGTCACACCTAAAACTCTGGAATAGACTCTCTGACTCCAAAAGCCATGAGCTGAAAACAAAGATGTCATGTTGAATAAAATGGGTCAATAAATGGTAACTATTATATCACACCATCACCGTCACCATCACCACGACCACCATCATCACCATCACCATCATCACCATCATCATCAACATCACCATCATCATTGTCACCACTGTCATCATCACCATCACCATCATTATCACCATCATCACCATCATCACCACCATCACAATCATCACCATCATCATCACCATCATCATCTTCATCATCATTTTTGAAAGGGCCAGGACTTTTTAAAAATAGAAATGTCAGCTCTCTGAGTCTCTCATTCATCACCTGTAAACTAGGAATAATCTATAAAAATGAGGGCAATAAAATAGTGCTCTGTGAGGACCAGTGCTAAGTAACTGGCACATAGGAGGACCTCAATAAGAAGTGGCTATTTGTGATACCCTCAGCGACTAGGGCCACAGTTCCTCCTCCTTGGGTAGTGTAGAATCCCCAGATAAAGTCCTTTTCCAAATTTCCAGTTTTTCCATAAACCAGACTGATGCTTCAAGATGTCTGCTTGAAGAATTAGGCCCTCACAACCTCTTTCTAGTGGACTGAAAAATCTCTGTTGGCAGCTGTGATTCTTATTTTAAAG